TTTTTTCCAGAGATGTCATGCAGGTAATGGGTTTGGATTAATTTATATAATACCTTGAAAGTTGCAAGGAGGCTGTATGTCAACCTGTTTCCATAAATGCAAACTCTCCAACTAGTGAAAAGAATCATTGGGTTAAAAAGCTGTAGAAAGACCATAGTTGAAATAGGCCTCAAGTTGAAATAGGGATGAGAAGTTGTCAGTCAATATTTGTTATCCCTTGCTCTGCCACAGTTCCAGAAACCTCCCGTTGTCATAACCATGTCAGGCAAAACTGATGAAGACAATTTGAAACTACAGCCCTGGCAGGCTGTTTTCCAGCTGACTCCTTCCTTATGCTGCCAGTACTGTGCTTAAATTAAAAAATCATGTAGTAGCATCAGTTAAGTCAGTGCGTGTAAGGACAGATGTGTCTTTGTGACCAAAACCTGTTTGTTCCTTCGTTCACCTCCTACCTTTTCAGTTAATGAGAGGCCTGTTTGCTTTTCTCAAACTCCAGGCCATGGTGGTTACGACAACACTGTAACACTGAATTGATTGTCATCCTTCTGGGAGAGTTCAGATTCAGGCACTCACAATCTTTTGGTCTGACAGTGCTGCTTATTTGTGACAGCTGCTGCCTTCAGAAATAAGAAACTTCCTCTGCTTTCTCTATTAGTTAATTTTTATCTCGTGTGCGACGTAGAGCTCAATGGTGTTGATTTGCCCGTCATTTTTGCTTTAATCACTTCCCAGTGATTTGTGATTTCTTTTGAATAGGGAAATGTTATTTGCAGTGCTATCACAAGTTGTAATTATAATTATTGTGTTCAGTATGTTTATAGATAATTGAAGTACGTGTATTGCAAATGCTTGGCATTTGCTGTAGTAAACATCTATGCTTATTTTTAGTATCCTGAGTAGTAAAACATGTAGGTCTGCAGAAAATAAATTTGAACAATGCAAGCGTGACTAGTAGGATTTAAAGATAGTGCAATTCATATGGCAAAAAGTTTTCATAATTAATTTTAAAAGTCCATAATGTTCTTTGCTTTTCAGAACTTCCACTTAAAATACTGCTTATGCTGCTGTTTACTGTTTATAGCTTCTCTTCATTGAAATCTCTATTCAGGTAATTAAAGAAACTTCATTCTCAATGCCAGGAACAACATTTCTTCTGGCACTGGAAACAGTCTTGTGTTAAGGGGGGCAAACAGAACAGAAAACCGATGCTGAAGTATCAGGTTGAAGTGTTACTAGTCAAAAGACGCTGCTGCAGCAGTTCTCAGGAGGCAGTGCTTTAGTTAGGATTATTACAGCACATCCTGGTTATGTTTGAGTTGTGACAGCTGCCCAGTTAGTCCCAGCAGGCTGTAGATCCCCACCTGCCTGATATCCTGTTAAAGCATGGAGTTGTGATGCTGTATCCTGTGAGGATTTAATTCAGTCTCGGAGCACTTATTACAGTGAGTTATCTGGCGATTGTTTATCTTACTCTGCTCTGGTTTTTTACAGTAGTAGTATTTTAATGTGTGGAAGGGACGGGTTATAAATAACGTACATTACAAGCTGTGATTTGTCAACCAAGCTGCAAACATTGGCTGCCAGAACATGTAATTGTCCAAATCATCCTGTGTAGTTTTACAGCCTATTGATCTCTTACCTACTTGACCAAAGATACTGCTTATCCTTACAACCCCTGTAGTCTCCACTTCCCTGTTTCCCAGACTTTTTTCAGGGCAAAACCAAGCTGTAATGAGGGATGTCAAAAGGGCTGTAAACATGTTTTCAGTACTTCAAGCACCTGTTTTTGTAGGTGGGTTTTTTTTGGGCGAGACTGCTTTTTCCCCCTTAGTGTTTAAGAATTCAATCATTCTGTCTCAAGAGCTCTAACTAAAAAGCTCTGTAGGAGCTTAGCTTTTGTCTAGAGATGGGACTTTTGCAAGTTTCTTGTTCCTAACTTGCCAAAACGAACAAATTCCTGCCAGAACTTGAAATTCCCTGTAAGCTACCTGCAGTCAAAACCCTACCACCGATGTCCTTTGCCAGAGAGATTGGCTAGACATTACATCCTACAGAAAGCTTGGGGGAAGAGGTTAAAATAAGTGTGACATTTCCCGTCTTTGGATATAGAACAACTTTGGTGGAACAAGTGTGTGTGTGAAGGTCACCTTTCAGTTGTTCACTGAAAGGAGGTGAGGTGAAATACAGCAGCTGATAAGGTTTCTCCTTAGATTCCAAGGCGTCTTGGAACTTGGTGTAAAAGGCACGTGATAAGGAAATTAGCTGTAGTCTTGGCTATCATGCTGGGGTTTTTTGTTTTGTTTTGTTTTTCTGAAACTTTTTAAATTGTTATTTAAAGCCTTGTTGTGAACTAATAGATATTCTTTGCTCTGGTCACCAGTGATAGCTGAAAAACAGAATTGTTATTTTTAGTTAACATCCTGTATTTTAACACTACCTCTTTTTTAATTCCTCTGACAGGAGAGAGAAGCCTCTCCTTAACTGGCTTGAAACAATCTACCTCATCCAACTCGTGCCTTTGGAAATCTTCTGTGAAATTATATTTCCCTTGACCCCCTGGAAATGGCACTTCCCTTTTGTCCCTCTGTTGCTGACCTCTGTATACTGTGCTCTGGGCATCACATACGCTTGGCTCAAACTCTACGTCTCTGTCTTGACTGAGAGAATTCCTGTCAGACAAAAGGCCGAGTAAAGCCACAGTGCTGGGACCAGTCCCAGGATATCCCTTTGAGGGGATTACTGGCACAGTTGTATGTCACAAGAACATACAACTCTGGATAAGACACAGTGTATGTGTACCATCGCCACGTGGGGAGGTTTTCTTCCAGCACTCCTGTACTGCCCAACGAGGATACCTCTGATCAGAAGTGCTCACAGTAACGTGGAGGGCTGTGGATAAACTGTGAAGCTCAACAAGGTCCAGACTTCTGTCCCAAGGAAAACCTGCCTGATTCTCCCATTACTGTTTGTATTTGAATAAAAGTTGTTGTGTCAAATTAGAAGGGATGATTGCTGTGTAGGAGAGCGTTGTCACTGTGTTCTGTGGAACTTGTAAATTAAAAACTTGACATTTTTTCTTTGAGCATTTCTTGCATTTTTTTCAGCTCACATCTAAGCCCTACTTTTGAGGGACACCTGCACAAGTAAGGATGTAGTGTCTAGCTGGAAACTTTGTCAAAATCTTGAACACTCAAATATCAAGTTTTTATATGTCCATATCCCATTGACCTCCTTGTTTCATGGATACTCTTCAAAGAGGCTTTAATATTCTTTTAATACTTATTTTAATACTTATTTGTGTAGCCCAGATGACCAAATTGAGGCTTGGGACTGACATGAAGAATTTTTTTTTTAATACCATTAAATCTACCCTATAATGTGGCTGCATAATGGTATTTATTTGTAATTAATATAAAAGTCTGCAACTGTAACAAAAGATCAAGTGTCCACAGTTCCTCTAGCAAGTTCAAAAAAAGGTATATTGTATTCTGCCTCTGGAATCATGTACCCTGAAAGGTAAGTTATTTCTGTGGTAAATAATTGTACTTTTTAAACCCTATATAACCATCCCTAAAAGATGTTGGTCTAGAGATTGGGGGCTGGTTTGGATTCCAGTGCTTACATGAAATGGGAGGAGAAGGGATGGATTTGTTTTGGTTTGGTTTTTCAAGTAGTTTTTGAACTTTCTTCTGTGTTAGTTGAAGAACTGGACCCCTTCGGAGAGGATAGTCCAGGGGATAGTTATGCTTTTTGAGTTCTTTGAATATTTCAGGTGTTAAAAGAGAGTGGGGCTCTTGTTAGGACAGCAGGTTGAGTAGTTGCTGTGGCCATTTCTGTAACCAAATAGCTTGTGCATTTAAACTTTTCACAGTCCTTTCAGACCTTCTCACTCTGTTTTTCATTACTTTCTCATAGTTTCTGCTTTTTTTACACCTCAGCAGCTTTGCCATGGTCTTTTTAGTTGCTGTGGCTGCTGTTGATGCCACGGTGCTTCTTACTTCTTACCACCTGTATTTTACTGCTAGTCTAGGCCTCAAAGTTCTGCACAGGGTAAAGCATCCACAGTGCTTGTGTTTGCATGGAGGTGCTGTCCTGTGTAGGGAAACAGTAATATTTAAAAAACAAACAAAACAAACAAACAAACAACAACAACAAGAAACAAACAAAAAAACAAACAAAAACCAAACACATCAAAAAAAAAGACAAACTTGGCTCTTCTGCAGCAGCACCTTTGCAAGTCAAGCCTAACTCCTTCCAGAACAGGTTGCCCAGGGAAGCTGTGGTTGCCCCAGCCCTGGAAGTGTCAAAGGCCAGTTTGGACAGAGCTCTGAGGAGCCTGGTCTGGTGGAAGGTATCCCTGCACATGGCAGAGGTTTGTAATGAGATGATCTTTAAGGTCCCTTCCAACCCAAACCATTCTGTGAAATTCAGCCCGGGGCAGTGACTTAAGTGACCACCTATGGCCATTCTGTAATTCCTGCTTCAACTTAAGCGTCTCCCACTGGGGAGCAGTGGCTGCCCAACCTCCTCCTGTGTGGAGAAAAGCTAAATAATACATTTTTAGGGAAGAGGCTGAGAAGCCTTTAGGACAGGTGGTGTCTTTTTAATGCAAGGGTTTTTTTAATGGTTCCATCAATCCTGCTATGGTGGCAAGTGATTTAATGTGGTTTCGTAATAATTAAAAAAGCAAAAACTAACAACATGGTGTAGGTCTCAGTATTTAATCTGTCGGCAGGAAGACCTCTGAAAATTAATGGGCTTCGATTTTAGTCCTTTATCAATCCCCTAATTTACTTACCGACCGGCCTCCCTGGCCCTCCAGAGGCAAGCGGGGCCGCCTCACCCAGTGGGCTCAGGGCTGTGGGAACCCCCACCCGCCCCCTGCTAGAGCCGCTCAGCCTCGGGTAGGGGCGGGTAGGTGGGTTTGTGGGCCGGGGGGGTTGGATTTTGGGGTCTTTTTTGGCGAAATAACCAAAATCAGGGGAAGGCAGCGGAACGCGGGAGCGGGACGCGGGCAGGCGGCGGAAGGCGCAGCCGGCGCTCCGCTCCGCCGAGTCACCTTGGGCGGGCCGCAGCCATGGTGTTCCTGCCCGACGAGTCGCGGTCGCTGCCGCCGCCGCCGCTGTTCAACAGAGGCTCGGTCTGGCTGGGCTTCGTGGGGTGGATGACGGCGCTGCTGGACAACACCTTCAACCAGCGCCCCGTCCTCCGAGCCGGTGCGGGGAGACAGGGGGGAGCCTGAGGCGAAGGGGAAACGGGGCGGGGGGGTGGCTGAAGTGAGGGGCTGGGGAAGGGGCTTTGTGGGATTTGGGGTCACTCTGAGGGATAAATGCAGGTGGAGGAGGGGAAACTGCCAGGAGTGAGGGGCGGGAAGGGGTAGGGGCGCTGCAGGAGTGAGTGTGTGGGATTTAGTGTGACCTTGAGGCTTATAGGGGCGGGAGTGAAGGGGAGGGGGCCCTGAGGGGGATATAAGGAGGGATATAGTGAGGGATACGGGGGCTGGGGGTGGGGTAGAGGGAGAATGTGGGGCTTGGAAAGTGCTGTGTGGGATATGGGGTCACTCTGAGGGATAAATGAAGGGGGAGGAGGGAAAACTGCTGGGAGTGAGGGGCTGGAGGGGCCTGCGGGAGCGGGTGTGGGGAATTTGGGGTGACCGTGAGGGATACTGGGGCTGGGGGAGGGAGACCTGAGGTGAGGGGATGGAGAGATAGAGCAGATTTGGAGGGCTGGGGAAGGGGGTATGTGGGATTTGGAGTGACCTTAAGGGTTGAAGGGGAGGGGGCCCTGAAATGAGAGAGTATGTGGGGCTGGTGAATGGAATGTGTGGGATTTGGGGTCAGTCTGAGGGATAAATGGGGAGGGAAGGTGAGGGAACCCTGAGTGAGGAGTGGTGGGAGGGTTGGAGGGGAATGGGGTGCTCTGTTGTGATTTTGGGTGTCTCTGTAAGGGGATGGGAGTGAAGGAGTGGGAGCCCTGAAATGAGGGGTCTGTTGGCCTGGGGGGATTGGAGGTAGTTGGAGGGGGCTGAGAAAGGGATGTGGTATGGGTGTGGAGGGGATTTGAGGTGACTCTCTGAGGGATATGGAGGGCAGGAAGGGGAAAGAGCCCTGAGGAAAGGGGGTCTGGCAGGGGCCGTGGGAGGTGTGGGTGTGTAGGGACCTTCACTGGGGGAAAGCAGGGAGGGAGGTGCTGGGGCATGAGGGACTCGGGGAAAGCAGGGGGCTGCCTGAGGCCCCCAGGGAGAGGAGCTGGGACAGAGGGAGGACATGGACATTCCTCTTCCTGCTGCAGGTGTTCACCGCCAGATCCTGTTCACCACCGTGGGGTGGTTTGTTGGCTACTACCTGACGAAACGTTCAGATTACATCTATGCCAAAAGGGACAGAGAGATGTTGGAGTATGTCAGGCATCACCCAGAAGACTTTAAGGTGGCAGGTACGATGAGTTGGTTTTTCAAATGAGACCTCAGCCTGCCTTATGTTCCAGTTAACAAGTGCTAACGTGTGTAAAGATATTGCTGAGCTAAGTCTCTCCCGCTTATTCACAATCTAAATTGCAACAGTATTAAGGATTTTATGATATGAAAATGGATATTTTTATTGATCTGTTGATCTGCCTTGATGACCACCTCTTCTTCTTAAAAGCTTATTTTAATATAGAAATAGCAGAACAAAAAGAAAATAAGAATAGACCAAACTGGTACCACTGAAGAAGAAATAAAGTAATGGAAATTAGAAAGCTCAGGTCTTATTCTTCTAACATCACAATTGTACTGTTTATTCTACAAAATGCCCATGCATGTAGATTCGGAAATTACGTGATGAATATTCAGAAAACAACCAGAGCAGGTGAAAAAAGAGTAAATAGAAATGGCAGGAAGCCTGAAGTGCTCTTGGCTTAGAGCTGTGGTGAAGAACAGCAGTTTTTTACTAAATGTAGTCACTGAGCCCAAAGAGGCCATGGCAGATTTTGGTGAAAACTGTCCATTTTCTGACACAATACAGTTAGGTGACTCTGGCTGTTGGATTGTGGTCTGCATCATGCCATGTTGGAAAGAATATGTACAAATAAAAAAGTGTTAATATGGAGATGCCTTTGCAGGGATCTGTGGAGAGCCCTATGGGAAAGAAGTTATGCATTTAGTTAAAACAGCAAGCTGGTGATTCACTGTTAGTAGCAAAAATCAGATTTTTGGTGGCTTTGTTAACCTTAAGATTTTAATATAAAACATATTCCGGATTGATCTCAAATGCTGATTAGGTTTTCCCACCTCTTACAGAAAAGAAAAGAATAGGAGAGCTTTTGGAGGATTTCTACCCAATCCGCTGAGGATTTCTCCAGCGGCGACACATCACAGGATGAATTAATGCCACACCAGGAACGTCGGCAATGTGGCTGCAACTGTTGAACCGTCCATGGCTTGGAAAGTGAAGCTTTACTCGCTTTCATGTAATAAAAGCTTGATTAAATACTTTGTGTTTAATTATTTGTTCTTCTGTTCTGTTAAAGTGTGTCAATACGTGGGTGACTGATATTTGTAACAGGATAATAACTTTGATTTATCTCTTTTTCAGTTGTTTTAATTGTGGGAGTGGGAGATTGTTCACGCAGCATATACTTTAAAAAAACCAGAGTGTAGTTGTGTAAGTTCCTTCTCTTTATTTCTCAGTGGCATTTCTCCTGACCCTTGAGCATGCCCTTGACCAGCCCTGCAGGTGCTGCAGCCAAAGTCTTGCTGTGAAATTAGTTCTGAACAGCTAACAAAAATATATGTGCTTCCTAATTAATTCCCTCTCGATATTTTGCATTCTTATGTTGCTTTTTCTTTGCTGGCAATGAGGATCCAACCTTTCTGCCTTCTCACTTGGTTGTTGGCTCCTAAATCCACATACTGAACACAACTGTTCCAGATGGGCTGTGGATCTGCAGCTCTTACAAATGTCACTGCAGGGTGCTTGGCACCTCTGGGGTTAAAACACTTCCAGTTGAGGCTGCTCCAGTTGTGACAGTTTTTTATCCAATTACCTTTTTTTGCTGGGTTTTGCCCAGCTTTCTCCTGCACTGCCTCCGTCCCTGTGCACGTTTTGTGAGACTTCCTGCTCTGTGCAGCGTCTCAAAGCTCTTTCTTGAGAACCTCTTCCCTGGGGAGGCCTCTTGCCATGCCCTGGGTGCTGTTCCCTCACCCCTGCTTCCCGCTGGTGCTGTACAGAGGGATGGGATAGTTGGATACCCCCCAGGGTTTGATTCTGCTCTCAGGTGATGTTCCAGCAGAACTTGAGAGCTCCTTGGATTGACTGGTGGAAGTGATTGCACCAGCATAGCTCTGTTTGCAGCCACTGCTGCAGCTGCTGCCTCCCCTTGCTCTGCCCACCCCTTGTGGGCCCTCCTCGCCCAGAGGGACTGGGATGAGTGTCCCCCTGGGCTGGAAGATGTTTCTTCTGAAAGCTTATTACACTAAAAAGGGAAATGACAATCAGATGGATTAAATCACGGATTCATAGAATGGGTAAGATGGGAAGGGACCATTGAAGGTCATCTAGTCCAACTTCCCTGCTCAAGCAGGGTCCCCTAGAGCATGTTACACAGGATTGTGTCCAGACATGTCTCCAGGGAAGGAGACTCACAACTTCTCCGGGCAACCTGTTCCAGTAGTCATTCACCTACACAGTAAAGAAGTTCTTCCTCATGTTAAGGTAGAACTTCCTGTGCATTGGTTTCTATCCGCTACCTCTTGTCCTACTGCTCAGCACCACAGAGAAGAGACTGGATCCATCCTATTGGCACCTCCCTTCAGACACTTATATACATTGATGAGATTCCCTCTAGGTCATCTCTCTCAAGGATAAACAGGCCCAGCTCCCTCAGCCTTTCCTCATAAGAGAGATGCTGCAGGCCCTTAATCATCTTCATCACCCTCTGCTGGACCTGCACCTGGATCTCCATGTCTCTCTTGTGTTGGAAACAGTGCACCAGATGAGGCCTCACCAGGGCTGAGCAGAAGGGAAGGATCCCCTCCCTCCACTGTCTTTGCCCTGAGGACACCTTGCTGGCTCACAGCCAACTCAGCTGACAGCAGAGCCAGACCTGGGAGGCCAAGTGTGGATTTGTGAGGTTCTTTCCTCCAGCATCTCCCTGAGCAGGCAATAGGCAGCAGCAGGAGGTACAGCCGAGACCAGAGCACCCCAAATTGAAAG